TCGCCCAGGCTGGAGTGCAGCAGTGCAATATCTGCTCACTGCAACCTCTGCTCTCTGGGTTCAAGTGATTCTCCAGCCTCAGTCTCTCGAGTACCTGGCATAACAGGTGCTCCACCACCACGCCCAGCTAATTTTTGTATTTTTAATAGAGACGGAGTTTCACCATGTTGGCCAGGCTGCTCTCGAACTCCTGACCTCAGGTGATCCACCCTCCTCAGCCTCCCAAAGTGCTGGGATTACAGGCGTGAGCTGCTGCACCCGGCCCGTATAAATGATTTGATTAGAACATCGCACCGAGGTCTTCTGAAGCGATCCTCGCGATCCACATCTCTCTCTCTGTCCCTTTCTCTCTCAGGGTCCTTGTCATTCTCCTCTCGGTCTTGATTATCTCTATCCCTTTCTTTTTCTCTGTCCCATTCACGTTCTTCAGATGGTCTTGATTCTCGAGGAGGACCCCAGCTCTCCTCTCTGGCTTTTTCTTTCTCTCTCCATCCACCTATTTTTTTTTTTTTTTGAAAAAGCAAAATATTTTTAAATTTTTTTTTAAAAAGACACAGATTGGCAATCATGATTCATCATCATTCTATAATTTAAGACACTGATTAAAAAAACACTAAAGCTGTGTATATCACTGCACAGACATTATTAACAGTATTTTCTGGGTGCGGCAGTTCATGCCTATAATCCCAGCACTTTAGGAGGCCAAGGCGGGCAGATCACCTGAGGTCGGGAGTTCAAGACCAGCCTGACCAACATGGAGAAAGTCCGTCTCTACTAAAAATATTTTTTAAAAAAGCAGCCAGGTGTGGTGGTGTATGCCTATAATCCCAGCTACTTGGCAGGCTGAGGCAGGAGAATCTCGTGAATCCAGGAGACAGAGGTTGCAGTGAGCTAAGATCAAGCCACTGCACTCCAGCCTAGGCAACAAGAGCAGAACTCCATCTCAAAAAAAATAAAAATAAAAAAAACTCATATATCTATAAGAAAACTTAAAATGGGCCAGGCATGATGGCTCACACCTGTAATCCCAGCACTTTGGGAGGCTGAGCCAGGTGGATCACTTAAGGCCAGGAATTCGAGATCAGCCTGGCCAACATGGTGAAACCCTGTCCCTACTAAAAATGCAACAATTAGCCAGGTGTGGTGGCACACCTACAGTCCCAGTTACTTGATTTGGGAGGCTGAGGCAGGAGAATCGCTTCAACCTGGAAGCCAGAAGTTGCAGTGAGCCAACATCGTACCACTACACTCCAACCTGAGCGACAGTGAGACTCTCTCTCAAAAAACAGAAGGTAAAAAAAACAAAAAACTTAAATGATCTGGGTTGAGTGTTCCATAAACAAAATCATCATTGAAAATTTCATAATTTTTCCTGTTGCATACAGATTTCAGCGTAGTATGTTCTGATGTTAAACAGATCACTCATTTAAACAGAAAACTTCAAGAGTTTTCTCTGAGTCCCAATTGTGTGGTATTATACCTTGCAACATTTTCAAGGCCTTCATATCCAAAAAAGAATCTTTCTTTTTATATGCCCATCCTCCACCATTTACCAACCCACCATTATCTAGTCGTTAATTATGGATAAATCTTTTAACCCTGTACAATGTCTCATACTTATCCGTCGAATATATGAATCTAGGAACATTTTATATAGATTACAGAGAGAGAAATTTGCTGGTGACTTCACTGTTTAAAATGGCTTCCAAGTGTAGTGCTAAAATGCTGTCTAGTGGCCAGGCGTGGTGGCTTACACCTGTAATCTCAGGAATTTGGGCGGTCGAGGAAGGTGGATCCCTCGAGCCCGGAAGTTCAAGACCAGCCTGGGCAACATGACAAAACCACATCTCTACAAAACTACAAAAATTAGCTCGGCTTGGTGGTGTGTACCTATACTCTGTTACTCAGGAGGCTGAGGTGGTAGATCTCTTGAGCCCAGGAGGCAGAGGTTGCGGTGATCTGAGATCACGTCACTGCACTGCAGCCTGGGCGACAGAGCAAGACCCTGCCTCAAAAAAGAAAAAACAAATGCTGTTTAGTGACTCCAAGCACGGCCATGATATGCCTTAAGGAGAAAATACAGGCATTAGATAAGCTTTGTTCATGAATGAGTTATAATGCTGTGGACCATGAATTCAATGTTAATAAATCAACAACATGTCAGAAATAAAGGGTCTTTAAACACAAACACATAAAAGACATTTTATGGACTGACTGGCTGACAAAAATACCATGACTAGAGACTCATGAGATCCTAACCTTCTATTTCCCCTATGAATAGGAGTTCAGTATTCATGGCAACTTTATAAAATATAATTAGCAAATTAATAAGAATCTGCTATGTTGTTACCCAATTTAACATAAGGCAAAGAAAAATTAAGTGGCTTACACAAGTTAACAGCTGAACAGTGGAATGAGGTGAGACGAAGTAGGCAACAGAAACTAGGGAAAGCAAGGAAGCAGCTCACTTAGATGTACATACAGAACAACTGCTCTTGTTATTTCCCCCACCCACAAAACTAAAACTGAGAGTCAGAGACCCAGAAAAAACCAGTCGGGGGGAAGGAAAATGATGCTGACCCAGGATCAGGTACAAGCAGTGGAAATGGAGAAGAGGGTGGATTTCAGAAACATCAAAAAAGCAGAAGTGAACTATATGAACTATATGAAGATTTAACTTTTACACAAAAGTACCTCAAAAAAAAATTAATTAAAAAAAAAAATAAAAGTAAAGATTTAACATAAAGGATGAAACGACGACAAAACAACTCCCAGATTCCTAGCTCAGAAAGTTAGGTGGGCAGTGATGCCCCTGATGAGAATCAGAGGGGTGGGTGGGCGTGAACAAATGCATGTGTGTTTGTTGGTGATGAATCCAGTTTTGGATAGGCTGTGCTCAACATTCAGTGAGACTACCAGGTGGAGATATGCTGTATGCAGTAAGCAGCTGTCACCTGCATGCAGTACATAGAAATCACCTAGAGAAAACTGGCTGGGCGCAGTGGCTCATGCCTGCAATCCCAGCAATTTGGGAAGGGGCAAGGCAGGTGGATCGCTTGAGGTCAGGAGTTTGAGAGCAGCCTGGCCAACATGGTAAAACCCCATCTCTATTAAAAATACAAAAAAATTAGCCATGTGTGGTGGTGTGCACCTGTAGTCCCAGCTACTTGGGAGGCCAAAGCAGGAGAATCGCTTGAATCCAGGAGGCGGAGATTGCAGTGAGCTGGGATTTGCACCACTGCATTCCAGCCTGGAAAACAGAGCAAGACTCAGTCTTAAAAAAAAAGAAAAAAAGAAAAATAATGGTAATAGACGCATATCACAGACATGCATACAACTGCTCACGAATAATAAAGTGTGAAAGAACAAGCAGGCCCAGAGCTAAGAAGGAACATGAGGCTGGGTGCAGTGCCTCACACCTGTAATCCCAGCACTTCACTTTGGGAGGGAGAGGCAGGAGTGAACCCAGGAGTTTGAGACCAGCCTGGGTAACACAGTGAAACCCCGTCTCTCCAAAAAAAAAAAAAATATTAGCATGATATGGTGGCATGCGCCTGTAGTCCTAGCTACTCAGAAGGCTGAGGTGGGAGGCTCCCTAGAGCCTGGGAGGTCAAGGTTACAGTGAGCCATGATTGTGCCACTGCACTCCAGCCTGTGCAACAAGGCAAGATTCTGTCTCAAAAAAAGTAAAATGAGTTTCTCTATGCATAATCTCATGGTTGGCAGAAACAAATATATCAAGTACATTTTAGTTTTAGTTATTTATTTTTAAAAGGAGGCTGGTTCTCAATAAAACCTGAAAAACACACCAATACTGAAGGGATTAGTACAGGAAGATCCCTCCAAGTAGTAGTCAACGAAGCAGAAGGAAAAGAGCACACCACTAAAGAGGAGAGAAGGGTTGGGTTGTTGATCTGTTTTGGATGGTGGTATTCTGCAGGCAAATGTTTGACAGGTAAGTCCCTGTAATAATACTCAAGGAAAGATAAAAGAACAGTTTATCTGGAAAGTAACAATACAGCCCTGACATTTATCCATCTGAATTTCACTTTTACAGGTGAACACTTAAGCATATTCAAGAAAATAGAATTTTACCTGGCTTGACTAATGGTCTCCAAGGACCAGGTCTTGAGTCATCACCCCGTCTGGAAAACCGATCATCATCAGCACGTCTTGAGAGCCGATCATCATCCATGTTTCTCCAAGGGCCCCTGTCATCCTCTGCACCACGCCTGGAAACTCTATCATCATCGGCATTCCTCCAAGGTCCTCGATCATCATCCAGCCCTCGCCTGGGACCCCGGTCATCATCCAACCCTCGCCTGGGACCCCGGTCATCATCCAACCCTCGCCTGGGACCCCGGTCATCATCAGCATTACGCCAGGATGATCGCTCATCCTCAGCACCTCCTCGCCTCGGCCCCCGGTCATCATCCATCCCACGTCTTGGTCCTCTGTCCTCATCAGCTGTTCGCCAGCTTCCTCTGTCCTCATCCAGTCCTCGTCTAGATGGTCTGTCATCATCCACATGACGCCAGTTTCCCCTGTCTTCATCAGCAATTCGTCTAGGAGGCCTGTCATCATCTGTGTTACGCCAGGAAGGCCGGTCATCGTCTGCCCCACGACGAGAGAATCGATCTTCATCAGGACCACGTCTAGGGCCTCTGTCATCATCCATGCCACGCCGGGGAACCCGGTCATCATCTGGTCTAAGAGAGGACTCTCTATCTTCATCATCCCCCAGACGCCGGGGCCGCTCTTCATCTCTTCTATGAGACCTGTCCTCATCTCGCCCTTCTCCACGTCTCCACTCCCTACACAGCAAGAAAAACAATTAAAAACATCTGAAATAAAAAACCGTATGATCCTTTGAGGATGTTATTTTCACATGCTTTTTTAAAACTTCAGTATGGACCGGGTGCAGTGGCTCATGCCTTTAATCCTAGCACTTTGGGAGGTGAAGGCAGGCAGATCACTTGAGGTCAGGAGTTCAAGACCACCCTGGCCAACATGGCAAAACCCCATTTCTACTACAATTGAGACATGCTGCTTGGCACAGTGGCTCACACCTGTAATCCCAGCACTTTGGAAGGCCGAGGAGGGAGGATTGCTTGAGCCTAGGAATTTGACACTATCCTGGGAAACATGACAAAACCCTGTCACTACAACAAATACAAAAACTAACCAGACATGGTGGCTTAACGTCTGTAATCCCAGCACTTCAGGAGGCCAAGACGGGCAGATCACTTGAGTCAGGAGTTCAAGACCAGCCTGGCCAACATGGTGAAGCCTTGTCTCTACTAAAAATGCAAAAATTAGCCGGGTGTGGCAGTGCACGTCTGTAATCCCAGCTACTTGGGAGCCATGAGAATTGCTTGAACCTAGGAGGCAGAGGCTGCAGTGAGCCAAGATCAGGCCACTGCACTCCAGCCTGGGTGACAGAGCGAGATTCTGTCTCAAATACAAAGAAACAAATAAAAAATTAACCAGGCATGGTGGAGCACACCTGTGGTCCCAGGTACTCAGGAGGCTGAGGCAGAAGGATCACTTAAGCCCAGGGAAGTCGAGGCTACAGAGACAAGGATCAAGCCACTGCACTCCAAAGTGAGAGGCCATCTCAAAACAACGACAAAAAACAGGCCAAGCGCAGTGGCTCATGCCTATAATTCCAGCAACTTGGGAGGCCGAGACAGGTAGATCACTTGAAGTCAAAACCAGCCTGGGCAACATGGCAAAACCCCATCTCTACTAAAAAATTCAAAAATATGCCAGGTGTGGTGGCACACACCTGTAATCCCAGCTATTTAAGAGGCTAAGGCACAAGAATCACTTGAACCCAGGAGGCAGAGGTTGCAGTAAGCTCAGATCATGCCATTGCACTCCAGCCTGGGTGGCAGACCCAAAAAGAAAAAGCAAAACAAAACAAAACAAAAAAGGAACCCACATAAAATCAGACATGCACACAATTCTTCTGTCTTTCCTTCCCCCTCCAATACCCTGCCCCACAAAATCAATCAAATTTTAAAACGAATAAGATATTAACAGGAACTGGAGCCGCACTGTTTTCCTCAACTCTACTTACTTCTCTGGTGGGCCTCTTCTCCATTCAGAGTCTGCTTCAGGTCCTTTTCTCCAAGTGCCTTCAGAATCTCTGTCTCCCCAACGAGAGTCCTCCATTGACAAAGTGAAAAAAAGGCATTACATTGGTAACAGTTTACTATTACAACTACTGATATTACCATTCAAATATTTTTTATGCTATTAAATAATATGAAGCCCTTAAATAAGCAATTTTTTTTTTTTTGAGACAGAGTCTCGCTCTGTCGCCAGGCACCAGGCTGGAGTGCAGTGGCGTGATCTCTGCTCACTGCAACCTCCGCCTCCCGGGTTCAAGCAATTCTCCTACCTCAGCCTCCCAGGTAGCTGGGACTGCAGGGGCACGCCACCACACCCAGCTAATTTCTTTGTATTTTTAGTAGAGAGGGGGTTTCACCATGTTGGTGGCCAGGATGGTCTCAATCTCTTGACCTTGTGATCCGCCTGCCTCAGCCTCCCAAAGCGCTGGGATTACAAGCTTGAGCCACCACGCCCAGCCCATAAGCAAGTTTTAAATTTTTATTTATTTATTTATTGAAACAAGGGTCTTGCCCTGTCCCACAGGCTGGAGTGCAATGGCGCGATCTTGGCTCACTGCAACCTCGGCCCCCCAGGTTCAAGCAATTCTCCTGCCTCAGCCTCCTGAGCAGCTGAGATTACAGGCACATGCCATCACGCCTGGCTAATTTTTGTCAGAGTTTCACCATGTTAGTCAAGCTGGTCTCGAACTCCTTACCTCAGGTGATCTGCCTGCCTTGGCTTCTCAAAGTGTGGGCATTACAGGCATAGGCCACCACGCCAGCTTACTTATTTTTTGATCTGAGATCAGACTGACACTACAGTGAAACTGGCAGTCTCATATATTGTGAGTGGCCTTACAAACCGATTTAACACTGCCGGAAAGCAACCTGGGAACACACACCTCTACAGATGTAAAGAAAGTCAAGTGCCCTGAAATGGACATCACAGTGCCGTTTCAAAGAAGGGTGGAGACATTTTACTTAATGTCTAATGGGGGTGGTTAAATTGACAGAACTTCTCTATTCCAAGTATTTTGATGACATTAAGAACTGTGAAAAGTAAATCTGGTACAGCCTTTCCAGGGGACGATGCATGTATTATTTAATCATAAATATCCTCTGATACAGTGTGACTGGTCTTACAAATGTAACCTAAAGCCATAATCAGACAAGTGTGAACTCTGGAAGATATTTTAAGAGATCTGATGATAGGGTGGGAAGATTAAAGTAAGTATCTACAAAGCTGGCCGGGCACAGTAGCTCACGACTGTAATCCCAGCACTTTGGGAGGCCAGTGAGGATGATCACTTGAGGCCAGGAGTTTGAGACCAGCCTGGCCAACATGGTGAAACCCTGTCTCTACTAAAAATACAAAAAAAGTAGCCGGACGTAGTGGCAGGCACCTATAATCCCAGGTATTTGGAAGGCTAAGGCAGGAAAATCGCTTGAACCTGGGCAGTGAAGGTTGCAGTTAGCTGACCTTGCGCCACTGCACTCCAGCCTACACAAGAGAGCAAGACTGCATCTCAAAAAAGTAAAAAAATAAAAATCTACAAAGCTAAGAATAAGCTAATTTGTAAATAAAAGAACCTTTACTTGAACTTTTTGTTTGTGTGAGGTAGAATCTCGCTCTGTTGCCCAGGCTGGAGTGTAATGGCGTGATCTTAGCTAACTGCAGCCACTAGCCTTCCAGGTTCAAGAGATTCTTGAGCCTGAGCCTCCCAAATAGCTGGGACTACAGGCGCCTGCCACCACGCTCAGATAATTTTTGTATTTTCAGTAGAGATGAGGTTTCAATATGTTGGCCAGGCTGGTTTCAAACTCCTGACCTCAACTGATCCACCTGCCTGGGCTTCCCAAAGTGCTGAGATTATATGCATAAGCCACCATGCCTGGCCCTTTATTTGAATTTTTGAAAAAATGTGTTGGCAATGAAACTCTCTAATAACAGCTAGAGGGCGGGCGTTGTGGCTCACACCTGTAATCCTAACACTTTGGAAGGCCGAGGTGGGTGGATCACCTGAGGTCAGGAGTTCATGACCAGCCTGGCCATCATGGTGAAACTCCATCTTTAAAAAAAAAAAAAAAAAAAAACCAACACTAGAGATGAGAAGCAGTGAAAGACAAGAATGGCCAGAAAATAAGCTGGTCCCAGGTCATCACAGGTCATGATCAAGCTAATGATTCTGGGCTACCTCTTAAGGTAGGGGTTGTTCTAAGAGACTTTCCCAAGTGAACACCTTGAGAGAAAACAGAAACCTAACAGTCAAAGGAATTTATGGGCACCACAATGGAGGGAGCAAATACAGCCAGAAGGCCAAGTTTCTCCAACTCCTGACACCTGTCTTGCAATTTATACCCAACAAAGAATTCAAGGTTTCAGAGGATATAGTACAACTATTAGAACCTGCAAAGACTTTTGAAGGATGGCTGTTATAGCCATTAAACAAAGAAGAAAAAATAACTCTGTCTCCTGGGCTCAAGCCATCCTCCCACCTCAGTCTGCCAAGCAGCTGGGACTACAGGCATGCACCACCACGTCCAGCTCATTTTTGTATTGTTTGTGGAGACAGGGTCTCACTATTTTGCCAGACTGGTCTCAAACTCCCAGGCTCAAGCGAACCGCCCGCCTGCCTCACTCTTCCCAAAGTGCTGAGATTACAGGCATAAACCAATGTGCCCAGCCCAGCAGATTCAAGAGCAGAATGGTCCCATAGTTGATGAGCAAACAAACTGAACCAGGATCTCAGAGAACCTGGTATAAACAAAGAGATGAAGCGAGTAAAACAAAAATTAAAGAGATAAAGAAGAGGACTCTGAGGCCGGGCGCAGTGGCTCACGCCTATAATCCCAGCACTTTGGGAGGCCGAGGCAGGTGGATCACTTGAGGTCAGGAGTTCAAGATCAGCCTGGCCAACACGGTGAAACCCTGTCTCAAAATAAAAAAAAATAAAAAAAAAAAAAAAGAGGACTCTGAAAGACCAAGAACAGAGAAAAAGAAAAATTTCCTTAAATTATGAAGATTGTGTCTGCCCTAAGGAGACTGACTCCTTAGACCAAAAGGGCAAAAGACCAAAAAGAAACAAAGATGGCCATACACTCAGGTTTCTAAACACATTCTCAGCGACACTTTTTAACTTCCTTTACCACAAAAATAGAGAAAAATTCTGTTTCCAAGGAATAAAACAGTATCTACATAAGTAGTAAGACCAAGGCTAGTATCAAAAATCCTCCCTTCTGTAACACTGTGTACTTAAAAAAGAAGCAAAGGTCTATAAACTTCTGAGAAGATGATTTTTGAACCAGTCAAACAATGAACCACTCATTGTTAAATGGTGAGAGAAAAAAACTTTTGAGACATAGGCAGACATGCTGAAAAAAATTTATCAAAGAAACCAAAAAGTACTCACAAAGGGGGAAACATGCAGTACAAACATACTTGAAACTAAATATGTTTGCTAATATAGACGCGCCTGTGAACCCAGAACTTTGGGAGGCTGAGGTGGGTGAATCACCTGAGGTCAGGAGTTCGAGACCAGCCTGATCAAAATGGTGACACCCCATCTTTAAAAAACAAAACAAAACAAACAAACAAGAAAAAGGAAGGGGTGCCAGGGACACAGAAGCAAATAAAAAACTCTAAAGTAAGTGTTAGGAATAAAACCAAATATACTAGTTACCACATTAAATGCAAATAAATTAAACTAAACTCTCCCAATTAAAAGGGAAGGTGTAAGGGGTGCATACCACAGAAATAAGAGGTTGAAAATGTACAAGAGGGTGGACACATTTGCAAATGCAAACTAAAAGCAAAAGCTAATCTCAGGGCGGAGCACAGTGGCTCACGCCTGTAATACCAGCACTTCCGGAGGCCGAGGCAGGCGGATCACAAGGTCAGGAGATGGAGAACCTCCTGACCAACATGGTGAAATCCCATCTCTACTAAAAATACAAAAATTAGCTAGGTGTGGTGGTGCATGCCTGTAGCCCCAGCTACTTGGGAGGCTGAGGCAGAAGAATCGCTTGAACCTGGGGGCGGAGGTTGCAGTGAGCTGAGATCCGACCACTGCACTCTAGCTGGGCGCAGTGAGACTCTGTCTCAAAAAGAAAAAAAAGAAAAACCCAAAGCTAATCTCAGAAGGGAAGCCTCCTCACGCTCCTCAGAAGACATAAACTAACAAGACGTGGCAGATTTAAACAAAACAGCTCTGATTTCATGCACAGATAAAACTTTGTGCCCAACAGAAAAAGAACATTCATTAAAATCTGATCATGATTTTAGAACACAAGGGAAAATGTATTTTTAAATTCCAAAAGCCTGTAAATCAAACCACATTTACTGAATACCAAGGAATTAAAACTACAAATTAGCAATAAGAGTAACATAAACTGAAAACTACATAGATAACTAGTATCAAGTCCAGGCATACAGATAAGCATTTGATATAGGTGTGGCAAAAATAGAGGAGCAGAGAAAAGACATGAAAGACATTCTTGAGCTTTTTGAGTAAAAAGCAAGCAAGCAATACTTTAGGGGCAAAAAGGGCACCTCCCAAGCAAAAGAAAGAGCATGCAGACAGATGCCACACACACAGAATAAAGCAAAAACCTTGCTCTCCAATGACTGGCACACAGGTGACTAAGAAGAAAATAGTGTCAGATGAAACTGATGAAAACCACAGCAACACAGAAGACTGCTAAGGCATGTTTTAAAACCTTTGCTTCTCAGTCATGAATACCAACTAATGAAAGGTCTGAAACCCAAATAGCAGGCATAGTGATCAAACATGCTGTATTATTTTTAAAATAAATAAGCAGGCCACAATGTAGAGGAAGGTCTGAAGCTGGAGGAAAATAATGAGTTAGACTAGTAAGTAGGTCAACAAGTACTGCAGGCAAGAAAAATTTGAATTAAGGCAGTAACGTAGGGGGAAAAAAAAAAAAAAAAAACAGGAGGAGTAAGTTCAAAGCTGTGACTAAGTAGGTATGATTCACCTGATCAGTGAATCAGGAGAGGGAATTCCAAAGGCACAAGACAGAGAAGGAAACACAGGTTCATTTTGGACCTGAGTACAATTAAAAATCATTATTTAGAGCTCAGTTTAAATCACCTAGGAATCCTGTTAAATTGCATACTTTGGCCAGGCGCTGTGGCTCACTCACACCTGTAATCCTAGCCCTTTGGGAGGTCGAGGTGGGCGGAATCACCTGAGGTCAGGAGCTCAAGACCAGTCTGGCCAACATGGTGAAACCCCGTCTCTACAAAAATACAAACATTAGCTGGGCTTGGTGGCAGCTGCCTGTAATCCCAGCTATTCCAGATGCTAAGGCAGGAGAATTGTTTGAAGCCAGGAAGTGGAGAATACAGTTCGAGACCAACCTGGCCAACGTGGTGAAAGCTCATCTCTACTAAAAACACAAAACCTAGCCAGGCATGGTGGTGGGTGCCTATAATCCCAGCTACTCAGGAGGCTGAGGAAGGAGAATGGCTTGAACTCGGGAAGCGGAGGTTGCAGGGAGCTAAGATTGAGATCACACCACTGCACTCCAGCCTGGGCAATGAAGCAAGACTTCATCTCAGAGAAAAGAAAAAAAAAAAAAAAAAGATGTGAAAATGGCTGATTTAAATATATTTATATAGGTAGCCTGCAAGAGAGCTGGCTGATAAAAATACATCACGATTGGCCGGGCGTAGTGGCTCACGCCTATAATCCAAGCACTTTGGAGGCCAAGGCGGGCGGATCATCTGAGGTCAGGAGTTCAAGACCGGCCTGACCAACATGGTGAAACCCCGTCTTTAAAAAAAATTTTTTAAAAAGGAAAAAAAAAAAACATCACAATTACAAAAAGCAGCCAGGCATGTAATCTCAGCTGCTCAGGAGGCTGAGACACATTCAAGAATCACTTGAAGCCAAGGGCTGAGATCACACCACTGCACTGCAACCTGGGCAACCAGGGTGACAGAGTGAGACTGCATCTCAACACACACACACACACACACACACACACATTAAAACAACATAAAATCAATAAATCCTATACTCACCTTTCTAGAAAGTGAACTATCGCCAAGTCTTCTCTCTTCCTCTCTACGACGTTCTCGTTCTTCAATTTCCAACTCCCTTTGGCGTTTTTTCCTTTCCACTTCTTCTAATTTCTTCACCCGCTCCTGATACTCTCGTAGCTCTTCCTCACGTTTCACTCGTTCGGCGCGCTCTCTCTCTTCACGCTCTAGACCATTGAGTAGGTTACTAAGTATGCCTCCCAGCCACATCTTCCCCCTACTGCTGGTTCTACTTTCCTGGTACTAAACAGGTAACATAATGTACAACTAAAGGAATCTGAAAATAGTTTGCCATCAGCTACATGACAGAATATAGTCAACAAACTAGTGCTACAGCCTTCAACTATAGTTTTGTAATAAAATACTACAGAATCCTTCCCCCATTCCTGAGCAATCTGGGATTCCAGATATAGCATCATTTGACAAACATCATCTGGAATGTATTCCTCAATAAATGTTAATATGCAGAATACAGTGATTAAAAAAAAGATTAATTTTTAAAAGAACATCAAATGTGTGGGGAAATGTTGGTAGAGGATGTAACAACTGGGTAGCAAACTGGGTTCTGAGAACCAGTTAATTACAGTGCTAACAGGCCAATTACCTTGATTCCTGTATTTTCTTTTTTTTTTTTTTTTTTTTTTTTTTGAGACGGAGTTTCGCTCTTGTTACCCAGGCTGGAGTGCAATGGCACGGATCTCAGCTCACCGCAACCTCCGCCTCCCGGGTTCAGGCAACTCTTCTGCCCCAGCCTCCTGAGTCGCTGGGATTACAGGCAGGCGCCACCATGCCCAGCTGATTTTTTTTTTTTTTTTTTTGTATTTTTTAGTAGAGACGGGGTTTCACCATGTTGACCAGGATGGTCTCGATCTCCTGACCTCGTGATCCACCCGCCTCAGCCTCCCACAGTGCTGGGATTACAGGCTTGAGCCACCGCGCCCGGCCGATTCCTGTATTTTCTACATAAAAACTAGATCTAACACAAACTTTGCACAGGTAGCCTTCCAATCCTGTTCTACCTATGTACCTTTCAGCATTTGCTCTTCTGCCCTTCTCTGCTCCTCCTCTTCTTTTTCTCTATAGTAAGTGATTCTTCGTTCTTCTTTACGTTGCCTTTTCCGTTCTTCCAATCGATTATGCCTTTCTTCTGCTAATCGCTCTTCAAACTGTTTAAGTTTTTCCTGCAATCGAAGTCACCCCCAACCCAAAAAGGTCAGATTTCGTCAAAAGCAATAAAGAGGCAGAAAGCTATTACATTTACAAAAGACTCTCAAATGTACTGAAATCATCGAAAGCAACCTCTCAGCACAAAAACTCTAATTTCTCAAAGACCATTAACTTGTCAGCAGGCCAAATTTTAAAAAATTTAAATTGTTGATATTACTGACACCCAGTGGGTTTGTCTTTATACAAAACAAATTCAAAGATCAATTAGAACCTAAGCCCAGGACATTTTGATCTAGTTTTTTCATTTCTAACAAAAACAGTAAACAAAAACTTGTATTTAACTTGCACCTTTAGAAAAATTCCTTCAGGTTTGTTTTGCTTAGGAAATACTATCCAAAAATTCCTATTATTACTTGAATGACCATTATACATAGTAAGTCAAGACAGAATATACAAATTTGTTAAGGGAGAACCCTTAAGGCAATACTAGAAAGCTCAAGAATAAACATTTCCTAAAAAAATCAGCAAGTTTACCTCATAAACAGACTGCCGTGCAGCTTTGAGTCGCATTACGAACAAATCTCTGTCTTCAAGCATTCGTGACATTCGATTCTTATGTTCAAGAGCCTTTTCACGTTCTAGCTGCATTGTGGTAATCTGCAAGTACAAAATACAGTGAAATTTCAAAGTATCATTTTTTTAAACTCATTTACCCCAAATTACTAACAAATACTTCTGAAAAATTAAAGTTTCTCCATTGCCCCTTCCATCATGCCATAAAAACCAAAGCGTAACTAACATGCATGTCAACAGGTCCCCAGAAGGCAATCACGGGCAAGAGTAATCCTGAGGCATTTAGAAGAGACAGTTTTTATTTAGCCCACGGCACAAGGAACCTTATAAAGGAAAAACTATGATGTACGGGTACACCTTGGAGGCACTGCATGTTTGGTTCTAGACTATCATGATAAAGAAAATATTGCAATAAAGCAAGTAACACAGATTTTTTTGTTATCCAATACATATAAAAGTTTGCAGTCTATTAAGTATACAATAGCATGTCTAAAACAGCAATGTACAAACCTTAATTTTCTAAGTCGGGACAGTAGTACGCTGAGGCAAGAGAATCACCTGAGCCCAGGAGTGCAAGATCAGCCTGAACACCATAGTGAGACTCCTGTTCTCAAAGGTAACAAAACAAAAACTACTTTATTGCTTTAAAAAACGCTCAAGATAACCTGAGCCTTCAATGAGTCATAATCTTTTTGCTAGTGGAAGGTCTTGCCTCAATGTTGACAGCTGCTGACCGATCAGAGTGGCAAGTACTAAAGGATGGGATGATTACAGTGACTTGTTAAAATACATAACAATGAAGTCTGCCACACTGATTGCATCCTCTTACAAAAGATTTATCTAGCAGGTGGCACTGGCTGACAGTTTACTTAAGAGTAGAATTTCAGTTCGGGCACAGTGGCTTACACCTGTAATCCCAGCACTTTGGGAGGCCAAGGCGGGCGGATAAAGAGGTCAAAAGATTGAGACCATCCTGGCCAACATGGTGAAACCCCATCTCTACTAAAAATACAAAAATTAGCTGGGCATGGTGTTGTGCGCCTGTAGTCCCAGCTACTCGGGAGGCTGAGGCAGGAGAATTGCTTGAACCTGGGGGTCGGAGGTTGCAGTGAGCCAAGATCACGCCAGGGCACTTCAGCCTGGCGCCTGGCCACAGAGTAAGACTCTGTCTCCAAAAAAAAAAAAAAAAAAAAAGTAGAATTTCAATTTGATTCAATCCTCTCAAACCCTGCTGCTGCTTTATCAACTACAATTACGGATATTCTAAATCCTTTGTTGTCGTGTCAACAATGTTCATAACATCTTCACCAGGAGATTTCATTTCAAGAAACCACTTACTTTGTTCATCCATAAGAAGCAACTCCTCGCCCATTCAAGTTTTATCATGAGATTGCATCAATTCAGTCACATCTTCGGGTTATAGTGGTTTTTTGTTTGTTTTGAGACAGTCTCACTTTGTCACCAGGCCAGAGTGCAGCAGCCATCTCTCAGCTCACTGCAACCTCAACCTCCTGGGTTCAAGCAATTCTCCTGCCTCCACCTCCCAAGCAGCTGGGACTACAGGTGCAGCACCACACCCAGCTAGTTTTTTTTTTTTGTATTTTTAGTGGAGACGGGATTTTACCACGTTGGCCAGGATGGTATCGCTCTCTTAACCTTGTGATCTGCCCACCGCAGCCTCCCAAACTGCTGGGATTACAGGCATGAGCCACTGTGCCTAGATATTGTTTTGTGTTTTTTTTGTTTTTGAGACAGGGTCTGTCTCTGTCACCCAGACACTGTAGTGGCACCATTTCAGCTCACTGCAACCTCCGTATCCTTCTACTTCAGCCTCCCCAGTGGCTAGAAAAGTAGCCACATTCTAGTACTCCTGGCTATTTTTTTTTTTTTTTTTTTTTTTGTAGAGACAGGGTTTCGCAATGTTGCCCAGATTGATCTCAAACTCCTGGACTCATGCAATTTGCCTGCCTCAGGGATTAGAGGATTAGGAGTGAGCTACTGCGCTCAGCCTATATCTAATTCTAGTTCTCTTGCTGCTTTCATCACATCTACAATTATTTTCTCCACTCTACTCTTGAACCCCTCCCAAGTCGTCCATGAGGCTTCGAATCAAGTTCTTCCAAATTATTATTAATGTTGGTATTTTGACCTCCTCCCATGAATCACAAATGCTCTTAGTGGCATCTGGAATAAAGAATTCCTTGTAGCACGTTTTCAATGCACTTTGTCCAAAACCATCAGAGGAATCACTATGGCAGCTACAGCCTTATGAAATCTATTTCTTAAATGATAAGACTTGAAAGACAAAATTACTCCTTGATCTACAGGCTGCAGAATGCATATTGTATTAACAGGCATGAAAACAAACATTAATCTTTTTTTTTTCCTTTCAGAGGGAGTCTCGCTCTGTGACCCAGGCTGGAGTGTAGTGGCGCAATCTCAGATCACTGCAACCTCCACATCCTGGGTTCAAGCAGTTCTCCAGCCTCAGCCTCCCAAGTAGCTGGGATTACAGGCACCTGCCACCACACCAGGCTACTTTTTGTATTTTTAGTAGAGATGGGATTTCATCATGCTGGTCAGGCTGTTCTTGGAACTCCTGACATCGTGATCCACCCACCTCCACCTCCCAAAGTGCTAGGATTACAGGTGTGAGCCACTGCACCTGGCTAATCTCTCTTATACATCCCCATCAGAACTGTCATATGATCAGATGCATTGTTAATGAGCAGTAATATTCTGAAACGCCTTTTTTTTTTTTAAACAGGTCTCAACGGGGGCTTAAAATATTCAGCAAACCATGCTATAAACAGATATGCTATCATTCAGGCTTTGTTCCTCCATGTATAAGGACCCTAGGATTTTTATAATGACAAGAATTGGCTTCAACTTCCAGTCAGCAGCTGCATTAACCCCTAAAAACAGTGAGTACTGTATACCCTTCAACACTTTGAAGCCAGTGACTTCTCTATGAAATACCTAGTTGGCATCTTCTTCCAATAGAAGGTCGTTTCAACTACACTGCAAATCTACTAGCTGTGCACGATGACTCACGCCTGTAATCCCAGCACTCTGGGAGGCTGAGGTAGGCGAATTGCTTGACCTCAGGAGTTTGAGACCAGCTGCCACTGAGGAGATCTTGTCTCCACTAAAACTATTAAAAAATTGTCAGGCATGGTGGTGCACACCAGTGATCCCAGCTACTAAGAAGGCTGAAGTTGGAGGAGCACTTAAGCCCAGGGGGTGGAGGTTGTAGGGAACTGAGATGACACCACTGCACTCCAGCCTGGATGACAGAGCAACACCCTGACTCCCAAAAAAGAAGAAAGAAAATCTGAGTAGTGTAGCCACCTTCTTCAATTATCTCAGCCAAATCTTTGGATAACTTGCTATAGCTTCTACAACAGTACTTGCTGCTTCACACTGTACTTTCGTGTTGCTAGCTTCAAACTTTTCTTCGCAGCTTCTTTTTTCTGAGACGGAGTCTCCCTCTGTCGCCAAACTGGAGTTCAGTGGCATGATCTCAGCTCACTGCAACTTCCGGCTCCCATGTTCATGCAATTCTCCTGCCTCAGCCTCTTGAGTACCTGGGACTACAGGCATCCACCACCATGCCCAGCTAGTTTTTGTATTTTTAGTAGAGACAGGGTCTCCCCATGTTGGCAAGGCTGGTCTTGAACTCCTGACTTCAAGTGACCTCGGCCTCCCAAAGTGCTGGGATTACAGATATGAGCCACAGGGATTGGCCTTCTACGGTTTTCTAAGCTCCCTCAGCCTTCATAATATTAACTCATGAGAGAATTACAGCCTTGCTCTGGATCAGGCTTTGGCTGAAGAGAATGTTGTGGTTGGTTTGATCATCTGTCCAGACCAATCAAACTTTTTCCATATATATAAGGCTGTTTCACTTTCTCACTGTTTATGTGTTCACTGAAGTGGCATTTTTAATTTCACAAACTTTTCCTTTGCATTCACAACCTGATTAGTCAAATAGGCCTAGCTTGCAACACGCCTTCCTCACTAAGCTTAACCATTTCTAGCATTTGATTTAAAGTGAGAGATAGGTGACTCTTAGAAGCCAACACTTAGAAGCCACTGTGGGACTGTTAATTAGCCTAATTTCAGTATTATGTCTCAGGGGGTGGGTGAGGTGGCTCACTTCTATAATCCTAGCACTTTGGGAGGCTCAGGCCAGTGGAACACTTGAGGTCAGGCGTTCAAGACCAATCCAGCCAACTGGGCTGGGTGAACTAAAAACCCAGTCTCCACTAAAAACACAAAAGTTAGCCAGGCGTGGTAATAGGCACCTATAATCCCAGCTACTTGGGGTACCACTGCACTCTAGCCTGGGCAAGTGTGAAACTCTGTCTCCCAAAAATGATGTATGTATGTATGTATCTATCTCTCTCTCTCTCTCTCTCTCTCTCTCTCTCTCTCTCTCTCTGTGTGTGTGTGTGTGTGTGTGTGTGTGTGTGTGTGTCAGAGAGAGAGAGAGAGAGAGAGAGAGACTCGTCACTCACTGGCACACTCTCTCTCAGGGAGTAATAGGAAGGTTCACGGACAGGGAGAGGCAGAGAGTCAGGAGATGGCCAGTCGGTAGAACAGTCAGAACAGACACAACATTTATGGATTAAGTTCATAATCTATATGCGAGTGGATTATATGAGTGTGGTTTGTGGCACCCCAAAATAATAACAGTAACATCAAAGTTCACTCATCACTACAACAGATATAATGAAAAACTATGAAATACTTTGAGAATTACCAAAATGTGACAGACAGGAAATGAGTACATGCTGTTGGAAAATGGTATCAACAGACTTATTCAATGCAAGGTTACCATAAACTTTCAATTTGTAAAAGAAAAAAACAAGAATAAAAATGATAATAATATGGGGAAGGGGGTTGGGGGAGGCATGGTGGCTCACACCCGTAATCCCAGAACTTTGGGAGGCCGAGCTGGGAGGATCGCTTGAGCCCAGTAGTTTGAGACCAGCCGGGGTAACACAAAAGCACAACAAAGTGAAGCATAATAAAACGAGGTGTGCCTATATATAGTAAAATAAAATAATGTGGCACAGTAATAACAAATGCCATGGTTTAATTTTTAAAGGCATTTTCATCCTTAAAAACACCTGGATTTAATGCAGGATAATATAAGGCTATTTCCTTTCTGCCCTACATGAAAAAACAGAAAGCTCAAAATCAATCCAATTTGGTGTGCAGCACTTTTCTAATATTTAATATTTACATGTTAAGAGAATTGTTACAAAAATTCCAACTTTTCCTGAAACAATGGGAAGAGCTGGCAATCCTAGGCCCATTAATCTCCAGGTGACAACAACCAGAACCAGATGAAACCAAGAAAAGGCTGCATTCTCCTATCACACTCTACACCAATGTTTGTCTCCCACTTATGGTTAGTTTTTTAAACCAGATCTGTTCACTCACTTTTATTACATATTTGGTGCCATAAGCGTTTGTAAACCCTGTTTTTGTATCATCAGGTAAATGTAATATACACTATAAACTAACAAAATTACAGAATGACCTATTGAGTTACAAAAGGCCACACAGTACACGATTCCATTTATATGAAATGTCCAGAATCAGCAAATCTACAGACAGTAGTAGTTTGGTGGTTGCCTAAGGCAGGGGTGGTGAGGAAGAATACAGATGACTACTGCTAATGGGTTTAAAACTTCTTTTTGATATATGTTTAAAATTAGATTGTGGGCGGGGCACGGTGGCTCACGCCTGTAATCCCAGCACTTTAGGAAGCTGAGACTGGTGGAGCACAAAGTCAGGAGTTCCAGATCAGCCTGGCCAATATGGTAAACCCTGTCTCTACTAAAAATACAAAAATTAGCTGGACATGGTGGCGGGCGCCTGTAGTTCCAGTTACCTGGGAGGCTGAGGCAGGAAAATTGCTTGAACCCAGAAGGCAGAGGCTACAGTGAGCCAAGATAGCGCCACTGCACTCCAGCCTGGTGACAGAACGAGACTCCATCTCTAAATAAATAAATAAAGTGTACATAAACCAGTTTTTTGTAAAATGAGCTTTTCAGTTGTCCTTTGTTTTACAAGTCTCATTTGGAACCTCAATCGTGAAATTTTCCATCTTTCTACCAGTCTGTTAATAGGCAGCCATTAGAGCACCATTTCGGGCAGATTCTGAAAGCAATTCTGAATCCTTGGTTCCATTACTGGCGGAGGATTTAATTATGATCTAAAAATATTACAATTAAATTAAAAACTTACTCTTTCTTCTTCTTGTTGTTCCCACAGATCCATGTCTTTAATTCTCTGTTCCTCGTAAGCACTCTTTATTAAAGGAATTTCTTCCAAACGTTTGGCTCTTTCAAAATAGTCAATCTAAATGACATGAAAACAAATGTAGTTTTTACAAATCTCTTTTAACTTGGTATGTTAAAGGTCTACCAATCCTTTCATTTACCTTCTTTTCTTGATTCTTTAGGCGTTCTTGGAGTTCTTTCTTTTCTTTCTCCAGTTGTTCAACCTGTTTAGCCATGATGAAATCTGGATCCAATTCTTCAAGGTCCTGAAAGGTAATATAAATGCACAATTGTTAATAAGGATAAACAAGCAATGCCTAACAACTCACTGTTTTCTAGAATGAAATCCTAAATTGCTTTTATTGTTATAATGGGTGATAATTTAGGAAATGTAAAAATATTGTAAAATAGCCTTATTTCCATTTGACCGTAAGGAAAAAAAAAATCCATACATCTTTTTCTCACTCTTCTAATTTACATCTCCCCATACTCTACTATAGGGTGAGCAAACCTAATCCAAAAACTCATCTGAAATGCTCCAAATTTTAAAACTTTGTGAGCACCAACATGGTGCCACAAATGCAAAATTCCATACCTAACCCATGTGACAGGTCAGTCAAAATGCATTCAGAACTTTGTTTCATGCACAAAATTGTGTAAAATACTATATAAAGTTACTGTCAGGCTATGTGTATAAGATTTCTATGAAACAGGCCAGGCACGGTAGTTTGCACCTGTAATTCCAGCGCTTTGGGAGGCTAGTGCAGGTTAATCACTTGAGGTCAGGAGTTCAAGATCAGCCTGGCCAACATGGTGAAACCCCCATCTGTAAAAAAAATACAAAAACTAGCTGCCAGGCGTGGTGGCACAAGCCTGTAATCCTGCGTACTTGGGCTGAGGCAAGAGAATCACTTGAACTCAGGGGGCGAAGGTTGCAGTGAGCCCATGTATCACTGCACTCCAACCTGGGCAACAGAGTGAGACTGTCTTTAAAAAAAAAAAAAAAAGTGTCTTATGAAATAAATGGATTTCATGTTTAGACTCTGGTCCAAACCCCAAAATATCTCCACACACACACACACACATATTCACACACACACATATATATACACACACATACATATATATATACACACACACACACACACACACACACATACATATATATATATATGCAAATATTCCAAAATCCAAAGAAATCCAAAATATGAAACATATCTGCTCCCAAGCATTTTGGGTAAGGGATACATAACCTGTCCTGTGATTAATATATAGTAGTTAAAACTGCACAGAGCGGGCCATGTATGGTGGCTCATGCCTGTAATCCCAGCACTTTGGGAGGCTGAGGCAGGTGAATCACCTGAGGTTGGGAGTTTGAGACCAGCCTGGCCAACATGGTGAAACCCCATGTATACTAAAAATACAAAAATTAGCTGAGCGTAGTGGCGGACACCTGTAATCCCACCTACTCGGGAGGCTGCGGCAGGAGTATCACTTGAACCAGGAAGTAGAGGTTGCAGTGAGCCGAGATCGCGTCACTGCACTCTAGTCTGGGCAACAAGAGTGAGACTCTGTCTCAAAAAAAAAAAAACAAACAAACAAACTGCACAGAGCAATTAAACATATGCTTACTCGCAGATTTAGTCATGGCTAGCTGTACCAAAATGCATAAGATAACTCAAAATAAGCCACCAAATGGCAAAGGACTATGGTTCTAAGAGTATAAAAGACCTGGATAAAACTAAGTTTTTTAACAACTAAAATGCTACATACTTCAATGTCAATATCTTTGAATGCTTTGGCACCCAGTTCTGTTTTCTTGATCTGCTCCAAACGCTCTCGGACAGTTTTCTTTTTGATTTGTTCATGTTCCTGTAAGATACGCTCCTTTTCTCTCTCCTTTGCTTCCTGGCGCAGCCTCTCTTCCTCAGCCTTTCGTACTTTCTGGAGTTCAGCTTCCCTCTGTTCCAATTCTTCTTTCTCACGCTGAATATTCAAACTCTCAAGGCGCTCTTTTCTTTCCTCAATTGTCTGGCGGCGAGCCAGGATCCGCTGGTGCTCTTTTCGTGAATTTTTGAGGTATGCAGTAACCGCCAACTGATGCTGTTCTTCTTTTTCTTGCTTCGAAAACAAATGAATTTTGAAAAATGACCAAAATTAATATTCTCTGGTAGTAGGCATAAAGAAATTGCAAAGTAATCCTGATGCATTGCCTTTCTATGTATCTGCATTTGATATTGGAAGATGACACTATCCAAGCTGTTTGTTTTCAGTATCAAATGCTACGGTGTTGCTCCTATTCAGTCTTTTAACAGCAATGACGCAGCTAAAGAAGCTCTCCTAGCTAAGACAACTTTTCTCTGCACCAAACTTACTTTAGGTGTTCATTAACAGAGCTCACAAAGAAGAAATAACTTGTTACAGGCAATGGCTCATGCCTGTAACCCCAGCACTTCGGGAGGCCAAGGTGGGTTGAGGCCAGGAGTTTCAGACCAGCCTGGCCAACATGGTAAAACCCCATCTCTACCAAAAATACAAAACATTAGCAGGGCATATGGTGCGTGCCTGTAGTCCCAGCTACACAAGAGGCTGACGCACAAAAATCACTTGAACCCAGGTGGTAGAGACTGTAGTGAGACAAAATGGCACCACTACACTCCAGCCTAAGTGACACAGTGAGACTCCATCTCAAACAAATAAATAAATACAGAAGGAAAGAAAGAAAGAAGCAGGAGGGAAAAATCCAATCATTATACTTCCTCTTTGAGGAATCGTATGTCCACTCTGTTGCTTCTGTGACATAATCCACACTATTACATTACCTATACAGAGTAATAATATTTTATTCAGTGGAAGAAAGCTCAATGGTTTGTGTATTTGATAAAGTAACAATTCTATAGAATTCTACTTCTACAGAATTCTACCAAGTACAATTCTATAGAAAATATATCATAAATCCCTTCTCTTAGATATCACCTCAAACCTTTTTGTGAAAGACATGGCATAAGAGTCCCTCAAAACTTCTGCGATTTATTTCCCCAGGAAGATGCATACCAGTATATGAGCTGGCTTAATGACTTCAAGTGCTTTTGCAAGTACTGAGGACATGGCTGTCAGCTGGTTTCTTATCTGCTCTGAAGGCATGCTTTGCAAATGAGGACCAATCGGAGCATCTTCTCGAGTAGCATAATTCAAATCAGATCCAAAACTCAGGGTACGAGAAGTGTGATCAATACGAACCTTTGAAAATTAAATTATAAATGGTTAAATCCATACCTAAGCATGAAGTCAAAAAAAGTAACAAAAAAAGTCATATACAAAAGCTAGAAAAGTTCACTCAGTAAACTTTAAAATGATAAACAAAGGATATGTGTCTTTCCAGTCCTCAAGGGCCTTCTACCTGTCCCCTTATAGCACATACCCACCTGCAAGTCGCAATGCCTGGCTGCATCTACTATGGCCCGTTCCAGTTGGAAAGCATCAACAAAAGGAACCAGAGAAGTCAAACGAGAAAACTCAATGCTCTGATAAATCTGTGCCACCTGCATAGAAAACACAGCGTTAATAACACTAACCACTATTTATTCAGCACTTTTTATACGCAATCTCATGACAATCATGGGAAGTAGAAATTATGCCAGGGAATTATGTTAGCAGTACATTGTTAAAGCCAGAATTCTAATCCCAGACTATCAACCCCAAACCTCATGCTTTGAGAACTATTATCATACTATTCCTCAAACCTATAATCTTTTGAAATCCTAGTAAAATTAAAAAAAAAAAAACAAAAAATATACCACTTACCGAATACATTTATAAACACTTCTTAGATATTTTTTGTCTGAAGGAGACTGGCAGCATTACTATTTATAGTTATACTGCTAATTAGCCTTCAACTATTTGTATAGCACAGAAGAAATAACACTGCTCACATGTACAAAAGAAAGCAGGTCAATGAAATGTGCACAAATACTGAGGTAAAAAATATAATAAAAAGCCTTCCTTCCCAAATGAAACAAATGAAAAACAAAATGGGAGTACTTAAGCCCCCATTATAAGCCAAAACATTAAAACTTACTCAAGTCCCTGGACTAAAATATATGAAAAGGCTGTCTCATTCACTAATGGTGGGAGGATCTACAATCCAGGCTTCTGAATAGCTATTAAAGCTTTAAATGCATATCCCCTATGACTAATTCCACTTCTTATGCCACAGAAAGTAATAGAAGTATGCAAAGATACATGTATGAAAGATGCTCAATGCTACAAGATTTTTAACAGGAAAAAAAAAATCTAGTAATACAGGTTTTCATCAAGAGAGTCTGAACAAACCACGGTATCTTAAAAGGAATAAGGTAGCCCTACATTACTAACAAGGAAAGATGCCCAAAGACAGTGTTCAGCCAAAAAAAAAAAAGTCAGTTACAAAATGTGTAAATACAGTTATCCCGTTTTTCAAGTTAATAAGTAGTATGAGACTAATTTTTGGCAAGGGCAGAACGGAGGTTCTCACTTCCTAAACAGTTCTAGATTTTTCCAGTTTTTAGTTTCATGATCAGTACACACAAACAAGAAAACTCCAGTTCTTCCACAAAACCTTTTTTAATTTGTACCTGCTGCAGAAGGCGGAGGATGGTGTTGTTCTGCAGTTGTGGCACATACTGTTGCAATTCCGGTTCCTTTTCAGGTTGTTCCCTAACCCAATTTAGAACCTATAAAATTCATTAAATTGAAAGAGAATCATACTTTCTACAATAACAGATACCAAAACATCTGAAATTCTTCCAGTTTTTTTAAGATACAAAAACATTATCCAAAGCAGAGAAATACAAAATGTATCATGAAGCTACTGATACTTGTTTGAAGATGACTGACAGTAACAACTAAATTAGTCATACTGCTAATTAACCTCCAAAGGTTTGTTTAGCACATCAGAAATATATTTTCTCTTGAAATAAAGAAAAAAGACATGAAATGTGCACTGAATTCTAACACATAGGACAATACTTCTTTCTTAACAAATACCAGTACAACCCAAAATTGCAATAAGGCCAACTCTGTGATAACAATCAGAAAGAACTTAAATCCAAAGGCTTACCTTTGTGACTCTCTCACAGAGTTTTAGTGGGTTAAATTCCACTTCAAGCCAATTGTAAAGGTCTTTCACTTCTGGGACAACATACTGCAGTACATTAAATCTGACCTAGAGCAAGCAAAACAAAAGTTGTAACTGCCAAAGGAAATTTTCCAACTAAGATTCTGAACTGACTATGAATTAAAGAAAATGATAGCATTGGAAATCTGAAAAATGATTTTAAAAAATCACCAAGCCTCAACCTCCTCTAAATTTACCAAAGATGAATCCAAGTACAACTCTGCTGGGTCTCTTACCCCATACTATGCACACTAACCTACAGTGAGAAGTATGTAAAAAGGAGATGCAACTCTCAAACACACAACCACAACCAATTAAACTGTGGCCAACAGAATAGTTTATTACCAATAACAAGGAAAATACCAGAGGTTTACTTTTTTTTTTTTTTCACTTTCAGCTCAGGCTTTAGATTCACAGAGTTTTACTTTTACATAAATTGTCACACAAAAATTATCATGGCTGCAGTATTTCTAAAAGCCCCAAATTGGGAAGAATTCACTTACTCATAAAGAGGAGGTTGGTGTGTTCATAAAATACACAAAAATGCTCAAAAAAAGAAAAGTTATGTAAGAATACATGAATAAATGTCACAAACATAATCTTACATATGAGAAGAATTTCGCATATCACCCCATTTATATGGACTTCAATTTTACCAAGAAATATGTCATTTGTTAGGAACTGTTAACCCAAGGACAGAATAACTGCTGGGACACAGCAAAGGCCAGGAGTGTGTTCCCACAGACAGTGGGTGACAAAACTGAGGCAAATGTTGGCAGATCCCATCCCCAAGCAAGGAGGGTACCCAAACACACCAGCACTCAGGTCTAAGATTAACTCCAATGTAAACTGGGTACAAGACTGACATCCTACAACAGTCTAATACTTCCCCCTTATAAGCATCCATTTATTTTTAATTCCCTAACTAACTTGGAATCTGTCTTTAAGAAAAAAAAAAGTTCCCTGCTCTAATTTCATTTCTATGAAATTATTTTAGATTCTTCATGCAGCTCGCCTTCCAAATAGGGAATGTAAAAGACTGCCATAACCTACTGAATTACATTTCTCACTAAAATACACAATTGGCTTGCTTTCTGATTTAAAAGTCACTCTTATGAACACCTGAGTCTTCCTGAGATCGTGGAATCACACTGTCTCACGAATTTCAGTTATCGCGCCCTCTCCTCAGGTATTGACCTCGGATATATGATCAACTCAAAAAGTTGATAAATGACTCTTGGCAGTCAGCTAATCCATTCACTTGACACTAACAGGTACCCTTGTAGAAGTCTACATTCTATGGGGCACAATGAGGGCCCTAATTTAGATGCCCTAGCTGCTGATCCAATGCTTCCCATTAGTGATCACTATGACTTGCTCACAGAGTTTTAGTGGCTTAAAAATTCTACTTCCAGCCAACTGTAAATGTCTTTCGCTCTGGGACAACATATTGCAGTTCATTAAATGTAAGGCTAAGAGATCACCTTTAACAGCAAGGTGACATGGATTATCCTTTCAGTGTGGTACACTTCTTCAGCTTTAAAAATTAGAAGCAAATTTTTAAAACATTGGCTAATGAAATCTTTCTCAAGAAACTGCTCTTGCTTTATTACACTGAGTCCTACATTGGTCCCAAAAACAGAAAGTTGGACTCTGTGGGCAGTGGCAGCAGAGTAAAACATGGAGGTACAAAGTAGGAAAAAACTGCTCTGTAGAAACTCTTAGCAAAAATAAACTACAAAGCAGATCTGCATTACTATGTCACAAAAGAACAAAGCCACTATCTAGAAAACGTATTTGTTCTTAAATTGACTACTGCAGAAAATTTAGGCCTTTTATCTAGTTTTTACCAGAGTGACTACACGTGTTTTCTCAGAATACATTTTAAAAATATCTAAGAGAGCTTGCCATTATCTTCGTGATTTCTTTAATTACTCTATTCATGAATAATTAGGCACTGTTAATGATTTAAATTCCATTTTTGGTAAACATACAGCCAAGTTGATTTTTCCTTAATACTTTTCTCTAGTACTTGCCCCTCTTTTTCTATTATCTCAAAGTAGATTATAATAACCACCAACTCAAACTGTTATGATGAGAATCCCTACAATCTAAGCTTCCCTGGAATACAACTTCTGCCTTCAGTTTCACCTGCTAGGCACATTGATAGGCACTCCAATTTCCACTGAAAGAAGGTTCCATCAGTGTGAAACACCAAAAAGATACACATATCTGGGCTGGGCACAGTGGCTCATACCGTAATTCCAGCAGTTTGGGAGGCTGAAGCAGGTGGGTCACGAGTCCAGGAGTTTAAGGCCAGCCTGGCCAAGATGGTGAAACCCTGTCTCTACTAAAAATACAAAAATTAGCTGGGTATGGTGGTGAGTGCCTGTAATCCCAGCTACCAGGGAGGCTGAGACAGGAGAATTTCCTGAACCCAGGAGGTGGAGGTTGCAAATGAGCCGAGATCGTGCCACTGCACTCCAGCCTGCGTTAACAGAGCAAGACTCCATTTCGAGGAAAAAAAAAGTGTGTGTGGTACCTTCCCCCGCTCTCTCTTCCTCCTGCTCCAGCCATATAAGCCATGCCTGTTTCCCCTTCACCTTCCACCATAACAGCAATTTTCCTGAGGCCTTCCCAGATACAGAAGCAACTATACTTCCTATACAGCCTGTGGAACTGTGGGCCAATTAAACCTGTTTTCTTTATAAATTACCCAATCTCAGGTATTTTTTTGTTTCATTGTTTGTTTCAGAGTCTCACTCTGTCGCCCAGGCCAGAGTGCAGTGGCATGATTTCAGCTCATTGCAACCTCCGCCTCCTGGATTCAAGAAATTCTCCTGACTCAGCCTCCTGAGTAGCTGCGATTACAAGCATGCAGCTAATTTTTGTATTTTTAGTAGAGACTGGGTTTCACCATGTTGGCTAGCCTGGTCTCTAACTCCTGACCTCAGGTGATCCACCGACTTCAGCCTCCCAAAGTGCTGGGATTACATTCATGAGCCACCGCACCCAGCCTCAGCTATTTCTTTATAGCAGTGCGAGGACATACTAATACACCTAGCCTCTTCATATTTCCCACACACAGCTCAGTTTTCCTAGAGCCCCCATGAAATAAGCCATGACCCTTCTTGCCCATCAATACTACTTCTCTTGCTGAATGGTCCACAGTATTCCTCAGACCCAACCCACGTGCTCCTACATCAAAACTTCCAATAATTTAAGACCAGCTCACTCACTGGAGCGAACTGCCTCAACTGAACAGTGATTGACACCACTGCTTCCCTGTCTATACATCAGAATCCCCTGGCAATGAGTCAGAATTCCTAGTATTTAATCATGGGTATTAAACCTGACCACAAAGTTTTCTGCCCAAAGCTATAAAAAGGCAAATTAATACTAACCATATCATTAATAAGGCCAATTCGTGTCGGTGGGGCTTGAAGACCTAGTAGCGTTGCAAGGCGACGTTGTTTTTCAACTATAATGCCATCCATATCCAGAAGTCGAGCAATATCCGTACGCTCAGGAGTAATAGGGATGGAAAGAGTGGCTAAGAGGACTCTAGTAGACATCCTACAAAGTACAAAGTTTTAAACCTGTTAGGTTTGTAAATGACACTTGGTAAGCAGAAAAGCACTTCTCTTTAATCTTATGGTAAGGTGCTTTCCATACCATAAGATTATGGTACGGAAAGTGACAGAATGTGTGCATCACCACAGTGCACTATACTCATAAATTATCCCATCAAAGCATGGGAGTAAGAGAAACGGACTATGTTTAAATGAATATTTGGAGAATCAGAGCTTCATCTGTCCATTCAGTATTGTCAGTGTTCTCAAGCTACAGAAAAAGACTATGATTAAATGGCAGAAAAGGCAGATTCATATACCCCATGCTTCCTTACAAAATTAAGACAGCTTTAAAAACTAAGGAAATGGCTGGGCGCAGTGGCTCACACCTGTAATCCCAGCACTATGGAAGGCTGAGGCGGGCAGATTACCTGAGGTCAGGATAACACTATACTGCTGTCAGCCTGGCCAACCTGGTGAAACCCCCTGTCTACTAAAAACAGAAAAGTTAGCTGGGGTGGTGGCGGACGTCCATAATATCCCAGCAACTCAGGAGACTGAGGCAGGAGAATCACTTGAACCCAGGAGGTGGAGGTTGCAGTGCACTGAGACTGCGCCACTACACTCCATCCTGGGCAGGAAAATGAGACTCCATATTCAAAAAAAAAAAAAAAAACCAAAGAAATAAATGACAATAAGGAAGAAAAAACTGTAAGAATCACAAGTGTGCCAGGCATGGTGGTTCATGCCTATAATCCCACACTTTGGTAGGCCAAAGCAGGCAGATTACCAAGTCAGGAGATCAAGACCATCCTGGCCAACATGGTGAAACCCCGCATCTACTCAAAGTACAAAAATTAGCTGGGCGTGGTGGCACATGCCCGTAGTCCCAGCTACTTGGGAGGCTGAGGCAGGAGAATCACTTGAACCCAGGAGGCAGAGGTTGCAGTGAACGGAGATGGCATCATTGCACTCCAGCCTAGGCAACAAGAGCAAAATTCCATCTGAAAAAAAAAAAAAAAAAAAAAAATCCCAACACATTGGGAGGCTAAAGCAGGAAGATCATTTGAGACCAGAAGCTTTGAGATCAGCCTAGGTTAACATAACGAGAGCCTATCTCCACAAAAAATAAAAAATAAAAAAATAAACATTAGCTGGACGTAGTGGTGCTCTCCAGGAGTCCTTGCTACCCAGAAGACTGAGGTATTAGAATCGCCTGAGCCCAGGAGCTCAAGGATGCATGCAGTGAGCTACAATCACACCACTATACTCCAGCCTGGGCAAGGAAGCAAGATCCTATCAGAAAGGAAAGACAATCAGAACAAAGGAGAGAAAGAAAAAAACAAAATATACTAGCGGGATTCATTTAATTGTTCTCATGAATTGCTCTAAATAGTTTTACATAAGACAATTTGCTGTACATAATTATACTGGATACCAAAATAACTGGTCTACCAATACAAAAAAACAGGTGGTATATGTGTTGTCTAAATATAACAGCTTATTATTTTTTTTTTTTTTTTGGAGAAGAAGTCTTGCTCTATCACCCGGGCTGGAGTATAGAGGCACGATCTCGGCTTACTGCAACCTGCGCCTCCTGGGTTCAAGCCTTTCGTTCAAGCCTTTCTCCTGCTCCAGCCTCCCAAGTAGCTGGAATTACATGCGTGCACCACCACACCCAGCTCATTTTTATATTTTTAGTAAAGACGGGGTTTTATCATGTTGGCCAGACTGGTCTTGAACTCCTAACCTCAAGTAATCTCCCACCTCGGCCTCCCCAAAGTGCTGGGAATACAGGCATGAGTCACCAAGCCCAGCCAGAATGTATTTTTTAATGTATTTTTTAAAAGTGACAGAAAACAGATTATACATAATGTTAAAAAGAATAAAATGGAAGACTACGCCTTCAGGACTCATTTCTGTAGTTTGTTGCTAGAGACGTCTCTCTGAACACGTGAAGTACAGGGAAAAAGTGGTCTATAGGTTATTGTTATAGACCCCTCTTTTCATATTCACATGTATTTATACAAGAATAAACATGCCCCAAATAGTCTACAGTTAATATTTTACAATCAGGAAAAAATGACTTGATAGAAGTATTTACCTTGCTGGGTGTGGTGGCTCATGCCTATAATCCCAGCACTTTGGGAGGCCAAGGCAGGAGGATCACCTGAGGACCAGAGTTCGAGACCAGCCGAACTCTGACAAAACATGGTGAAACCCTATCTCTACCAAAAATACAAAAAATTAGCTATGCATGGTGGCACACGCCTGTAATCCCAGCTATTCGGGAGGCTAAGGCAGGAGAAACTTTAACCCAGGGAGGCAGAGGTTGCAGTGAGCCGAGATCACACCATTGCACTCCAGCAAACAAACAAACAAACAAACAAAGCAGCAGCAGCATTTATCTCAATTTTCTCTTGTTCTAAGAATAGCCAGGCATGGTGGCTCACACCTGTAATCTCAGCACTTTGGGAGGCCAAGGTGGGCTGATCACCTGAGGTAAGGAGTTCGAGACTAGCCTGATGAACATGGTGAAACCCCGTCTCTACTAAATGTACTAAATTAGCCAGGTAGGGTGGGCATGCCTGTAATGCCAGCTACCGCGGAGGGTGAGGCAGGAGAATCTCTTGAACCCAGAAGGTGGAGGTTGCA